CAGCCCCATCCCCAGCCGTGGCTCTTGGCAAAGCAGCAAAGGGTTAAGCCATGCAGCGGGGCCACGTGACGCTCTGGGGATACCGTTTTTCTGAAGATCAGGATGGATTAGGGTGGAATATCAGGACGAGCATTTCTTGGGTGGTGCATCACCCTCCCTGGCTCTGCCACAGCCCCTGGTCCTGCTGCTCCCCGGGGACACGTGGTGCCTGAGCCAGGTCCCCGGCCAGTGAGCTCCCCGCTGTGCTGCTCCCTGTGATTCTCCCTCCCAGCACAGTCACCTCTGGGGGGGCTTGGATGGCACCGAGTGGATGGCACATGGTGGGCACTGGAGGGATCTGGGGTCCGGAGCTGGAATGGACACCATCCCCATCCTCATCCCTATCCCCATCCCTGTCCCCATCCCCTGCAGCCAGAGGCTTGTCCTACAGTGCTGTGGGCAAGAGGGATGGGGGTCTCCTGCTCACCCCCCCATGACTCCCTCCTCTTCTCCCCTCAGTGCATGAGGTTGGTGTTTGCCCAAGAGCCACCCAGCACCCGCACTGACCCCCAAGGCAGCGCCGGGAGCCATGTCGGGTTCCTATGACGAGTCGGCAGCGGCCGCGGAGGAAACAACCGACAGCTTCTGGGAGGTGAGTCCTGGCTGTCCTCTCCTCCCGTGGGGCCCCCACCACTGTCACTGCATCCCTGGGTGTCCCCTGGGCTGGGAGGGGACAGCGCTGCCCTGCCCTCCCATATCAAGCCCTGCCTACGGGCATCCCTGCCGCGGTGGCTTGGGTGTCTGAGCCAGCTCTGCTGAAGATCTCAACCTCAGCTGTCCTAAGGGGCACAGAGCAATGGAGGGGACCGAAAGGAGTTGGGTTTCACAGTATCATTAATGTTGGAAAAGATCTCTAAGATCATCCAGTCCAACCATCAACTCATCGCCACCATGTCCACTAAACCAACCATAGCCCTGAGTGGTTTGAGCAGCCCTAAAGCAAAAGCTCCATCCCTGCATCCCCAAAGTGCCTGGCGCTCCCCTCATCCCCACCCTGGGCCAGCTGGGGCTGAGCCAGGGAGCCTGGCCACAGCTCCCATGCCTACTTGTCCCCATCCCCATCCCCCTCCCCATCCTCCTCCCAGGTGGGGAACTACAAGCGCACGGTGAAGCGGATTGACGATGGGCACCGGCTCTGCAATGACCTCATGAACTGTGTGCACGAGCGGGCCAAGATCGAGAAGTCCTACGCCCAGCAGCTCACCGACTGGTCCAAACGGTGGAGGCAACTCATCGAGAAAGGTACCATGGCTTCCCCAGGAGGAGGGTCCTATGGCTTCCCCAGGAGGAGGGTCCCAGGGCTTCCCCAGGAGGAGGGTCCTATGGGTCCCCGTGCACCATCACAACTTCACCTGGTAGAGGTGGAGAGGGTAAGGGCTGTGAAGTGACACTCAGCTGTCCCCTCTGCCCCTCAGGTCCCCAGTATGGCAGCCTGGAGAAGGCATGGGGTGCCATCATGACAGAGGCAGACAAGGTGAGTGAGCTGCACCAGGAGGTGAAGAACAGTCTGCTGAACGATGACTTTGAGAAGGTCAAGAACTGGCAGAAGGATGCCTACCACAAACAGATCATGGGAGGCTTCAAGGAGGCCAAGGAGGCTGAGGATGGTTTCCGGAAAGCCCAGAAGCCCTGGGCCAAGAAGCTCAAGGAGGTGAGAGGAGAAGCACAGCATGTCCTGGGGCACCCATGCCATCTCCTGGCTCTGGGTGCCCAGTCCAGGCTGGCAGAGCTGGGTGGTACCTCCCTGTAGGCAGAGGGATGGGCAGGGGGCTGTGACTCTCCTCTGATGTCTCTTCTCCCTCTTCTCCACAGCTGGAGACAGCCAAGAAAGCCTACCACCTGGCATGCAAGGAGGAGAAGCTGGCAATGACCCGGGAAGCCAACAGCAAAGCAGAGCAGTCCAACACCCCCGAGCAGCAGAAGAAACTCCAGGACAAAGTGGAAAAGTGCAAACAAGACGTTCAAAAGGTGCGAGCTGCTGCCCTGCTCTGAGCTCACGAGGCATCGGGCAGGAAAACCAGTGGAAATGGCCACCACAGCCCTTTGCCTTCCATCCATCCCCATGTTCCCATCCCTACGCTCCTCTGGAAGGGTGAGGATTTGCAGGTGGCACTCAGGGGAGTGTGAGTAGGGCAGAGATTTACCCCTCTTCCTGGGGCAAAATCTCTCTGGCAACCAGATTGATTTCGCCCACAGAGGCTCTTGGCTCAATCTGGGCTCCCCAGCATGGTGACCCTCAAACAAGACCTGCTCAGCACCCAGAAAGGGCCTCTGAGGTGTTCAAGGTATAACCAAGGTACCCTCCTGCACCTTTGCAGACTCAGGAGAAGTACGAGAAGGTGCTGGATGAGCTGAACAAGTGCACTCCACAGTACATCGAGAGCATGGAGCAAGTCTTTGAGCAGTGTCAGCAGTTTGAGGAGAAGAGGCTCAACTTCCTCAAGGAAGTGCTCCTGGACATCAAGAGGCACCTGAATCTGGCTGAGAGCAGCAGGTAGGTGCCTCCTGAACTGACTAGACAGAAAGTGCCCACACAAGGTCTCCTCGTGCTGCCTGGAAAGCAAACCAAGCCCTGGAGGGACCGAGTGCTTCCATGACAACCCATCCCCTGCAATACAAGGGAGAGGGGTTTCTGCCCAACACCATGGTCACCAAGAGGTACCAGAGTGGCAGGAGGGCTGGGTGGTAGCTGGCGCCCCCCAGTGCCTCGTAGGAGGTGACACAACCTGAGCATGTCCCTGTCCCACCCCATCCCCAGGACATCTCACCAAGGTCCACCCCCACCTGCAGCACCCTGACCCACGTCTCTCCTCACAGCTACGCCAACGTCTACCGGGAGCTGGAGCAGACCATCCGCCTCTCGGATGCGCAGGAGGATCTCCGGTGGTTCCGCAGCACCAGTGGCCCTGGGATGCCCATGAACTGGCCCCAGTTTGAGGTGAGGCTGGGCACCCTGGTTGGGGTGCTGGCAGCCCCACGGGGCAGCTGGGCATTCAAGGGATGGTTGCTCTGTGCTCGCAGGAGTGGAACCCGGACCTGACGCACACGATAAGATTCGAGGGAGTGGGGAGCGGGTCCGGCTCGTTAGCAAGGGCTAGGGAAGGCCATAGAAGAGCCTCCAGGGGAGCCCCTCGGCTGTTTGCTTCCCAGGCTTGGCTCCTCCTCGGAACCGATTCAGGGGGCGGGGGGGGGGGGCGGGGGGGGGGGGGAGCTGCCATGGGAAAGGCACAGCGTTTGCCTGTGCAAACATTCCAAGAGCTGTGGGGACACACGAGAGGATGCAAGATGTTCTTGGTGACGGACACCAACTCTTCTTTGTCCTCCCTCTGTGGCTTGCTGGAC